ATCCTCGAATGGTGTCCCCATTGAGTTTGTTGATTCCTATAAATATTTGTGTATCTTGGTCGACTCACATCTCTCTTTTAAGCTCCATGTGGAAAACTTGGTAAAGAAACTGAAAGTTAAACTGGGTTTCTTTTTCAGAAACAGATCCTGTCTAACCCTGAATGTTAGGAAACACCTTGTATCTGTGACTTTCCTTCCCTCCATTGATTACGGTGACATTATTTACATGAACGCTCCTACAAGAACCCTGCAGATGTTGGATGCTGCAGATGTTGGATGCTGTCTATCATGGTGCACTAAGATTCATAACTGGCTGTGATTATCGTACCCACCACTGCACCCAGTATTCACTGGTTAACTGGTCACCATTAACTTCACACAGACTCTCTCACTGGTACATCTTCATCTTTAAATCACTTCCTGGTCTGCTGCCTTCATACATCTCCTCCTACATGTCTCTGTGTGAGTGCAGCTACAGCGTGCGCTCTCAGGACATCATTACCTGCAGTGTTCCCTCAGTGAGGACTGAACTAGACAAAAGGACCTTCTCCTACTCCGCTCCTGTTTCCTGGAATATCTTGTAAAAAGATCTGAAGCTCTCGACCTTTGACCTCTCTAAGTGTCTTTAAGAATCTGTTGGACTCCTGACAGGGACCAATGCAGACATGTTCCTGGTTTTAGTTTTATACATTGGCCTTAGAATATAGCTGTTTTTTGTTACTTTTCTTTTTTTAGCTATCCTATTTGTAAAAAATAAAAATAAAATTGTATGACTTTTTATAACTGTTTATTGTTGTTGCTGTTGTCCATTGTTGTCATCTTTCTTTGTTGAAATCAGGTCTCTCTTGTAAATGAGTCCTCGAGGCTCAATGGGATTTACCTGTAGAAATAAAGGTTGAATGAATGAAAAAACACCTTCACCAGGTGTCAATTTGGCTATGTGAACTCACCATATGAGTTCAACATCTTCTTAAAGAAAACATCTCCATATGGTTGAATGCAGAACTCTCATGTACGTAAACAACATCCTTCTACAAAAACCCACATTTGACACTTGCTTAGCTGAGATTGATCACATGCTTGATAAACTCACAGCTGTTGGTGCTAAGATCTCCCTTTTTAAGTGTCTGTGGTACAAAACCAAAGTGGAGTATGTTGGTCTACTTGTAGGTCTTGATGTTTGTTTGTTTTTTAGTTTTCTACATCACCCTACAACCTAGCCAGGTTTTTTTCTTTTACATTTTCTTTTAAATATATATTTTTTTCACTTGGTATTCTCTATTTGTATGCATCCTTCATAATAATAATAATATGTTGTCATCATTGTATGTTCCCATACAATGGTGAAATTGGCTCTCTGCATTTAACCCATCCACCCCCAGATGGAGCAGTGGGCAGCTATTAAAGATGCCCAGGGAACAAATGGGGATAGGGTGTGCTACTCAGTGACACCACAAGATGTGCAATGACTGGGAATCGAGCCTGAGACTTTCAGGCCCCAGTTTGGCTGCCCTGCCTCTACCCCATCTTGGCCCCCATTATGATTGTCTATTGTTGTCCACTGATGTCATTACACTTTGTTAAAGTAAATGTCTCTTTTGTAAATGAGTCCCCGAGGCTCAATGGGATTAACCTGTATAAATAAAGGTTGAATGAATGGTTTACAGCCCCAGTTTAGTAGTCCATGATCTTGCCAACCTTAAAATCCATTACAACCTCACAGTTATATGTATAGTTTACTTGGTGTTTGTGAACCAGTTCACAAGGAACTGTGCTGATTTGCCAAAGCCTTTAACAGAACTCCTTAAGAAGTAGGTGCCTTTTCTTTGGTCTGATGCACAGCAGTGAGCCATTGATGCCCTCAAAGCCAAGCTGTGCTCAGCACCATGTCTGGTAGACCCTAACAGCTACAAAGAGTTTCACCTTGAAGTTTGTTTTTCAGCTCACTGCTAGAGTCTTGGTCTGTATCAAATCTATGACCACAATAAAAAAGTATTGGCCTATGCCAGTAAGACTCTGACAGGCCCTGGACTAAATACTCAGACTGTGAGCAAGCACTGTTAGCCACTGTGTGAGCAGTGAAACATTTCTTTAACTACTTGCGTGGACAAAATACCATTGTAGAAACATAAGATCAACCAGTGACCTTTCTTATCAGCCAACGAGTCAGAGATAAGCCCCCAGTATACTCCCTCGTATGTCCGTTCACGCGTACGTACACGTGTACTGTACGCAGAGGGTTCAGACTTCATACTCGAGCGTACACCCTGAGCAGCTGCAGAGCAGCTTCACAGACAAGAGGTGTTTACCTTTGTGACAATCTGAGGTCGCCGATTGGTCATTTACTGACACGCCTACTGGATTGATTGACAGGTCGGGGAAAAAAAAGAGCTGGCAGCCTCAGCCGCAGAGGTTAATTCTGTGTTTATATGTTGTTAATTACAAAGTTCTAAAAAAAAATAATAATAATAAAAAGGGACCTGTTGGCTCTACAGCCCACACATCATACCAGCCCACCAGGAAATCTCCAGACCCTCCTGCAGCCACGCTGGAACCGAGTTTAATTCGCTCGTGACAAATTCCTCCATTTCTCACCATTTCAGTCATGGCATCAACGGAGGAGGAAGAGATCACTGCCTCTTGGCAAAAGGACAAACGAAAAGGCCAGATCAGGGATGAAGAAGAGGAATTTAATACATTGGTGTCTCATACAAAACAGTTAATCGGCGGGCAGTTTATTGTGCGACACCGCGTACACGGTCGTAAAAATTGAGCTTTGCACGGACATGCCCTGGGGGGTACGCTCGTACCTCGGCGTACGTACGTGCGTGCCTCCCGCATATGGACGTACGCGGGAGTATACCGGGGGCTATAGTGTGGTGACAAAGGCATGTGTGGCCTCAAGGCCTTACAGAGTTTGACATAGATGTCTGCTATTCTCAAAACAAAAAAACCCTCTTTTAGATACAGAACTGGCTGCCTGTCAACATTGCACACAGGATTCCCCCTTGGTCCAGACACCTATTGAATAAGCCACAGCCTTTGGAGACCCACATTAAGTGTAGAACCACAAGACTGAGGAACAGCTTCTACCCTGAAGCTGTTAGACTCCTAAATCCTTAACCAAGAAAATCACTAAGAAAAAAGAAAATCACTGTAATGCCACTTTGACTGGTGATGTGTGATTTATCTGTGCTGTTGATTATCCATGCTGCTGATCTCTTGCTGCTGTATTCATTCATATCCATCTACTCACTTCAGACTCATGTTCGGGCTGCTATTTACTGCAATATCCACCCATTCATTATCTTTTACTTGTTTCTTCCTTTTTAGGTCGCAGGGGTCACTGGTGCCTATGTCCAACTATCACTGTGCAAGAGGCGGGGCACCCCCTGGACAGGTCTCCAGTCCATCACAGGGACACATAGAGACAAACGAGACAAACAACCATTCACTTTCTCTCTCACCTAGGGACAATTTCGAGTTACAGTACCGATCATCCTAACATGCATGTTTTTGGTCTGTGGGAGGAAACTGGAATACCTGGAGAAAACCCCCTCAGTCAAGTCAAGTCAAGTCATCTTTATTTGTAGAGCACAATTTAAAACAGATAAACTGTTATCAAAGTGCTTAACAGAAATGTAGCAAAACAAAAACATCATACAGAATTAAAATTACTGGAGCAATAACACACACTAATGATCACACTAAGGAAAAACAAGCAGTAAAAATAAACGTCAATCATAAAACAACAGAATTTAAAATGAGGTACACAGAACAAAATAAACCAACTCACACAGTATTAAACGCCAGAGCAAACAGGTGCGTTTTAAGGAGGGATTTGAACATCAGGAGGGAGGAGGCCTGCCTGATGTTGAGGGGCAAGTTGTTCCACAGGTTGGGACCTCTGACTGAAAAAGCTCGATCCCCTCGGAGCTTCAGGCGTGATTTTGGAACGACCAAAAGAAGCTGGTCCGATGATCTCAGGGCCCGAGACGGAACATATGGTTCCAGGAGCTCGGAGAGGTAGAGGGGTGCGAGGCCATTTAGGCACTTATATGTCAGGAGGAGAATCTTGAAGTCGATTCTGGATCGCACAGGAAGCCAGTGAAGGGAGGACAGAACAGGTGTGATGTGCTCAGACCTACGTGTACCAGTTACTCTCAGCACTGAGAGAACATGCAAACTCCACGCAGAAAGGCCTCCGGCCAGGATTTGAACCGGCAACCTTCTCACTGAGAGGCAACAGCTCTACCAACTGTGCCACTATGCCACCCTAAAACTCAGACTGTGACAGAAAAATAAAAATTTAGGAATGTCCCTGGGCACGTCCACACAGGGGACAAAAGTTTGTGTAGATGGATCAGAGACTATCAAGACCACGGAAAGAGTTTGGGTGGGCGATCCGGAGACTGTCCAGACCACAAGAGAAAAACTAAAACATAGACTGACAAGACTTGCTGTCATTGAAGAAGGAACTGTAAATAGTATCTCATCACAGCTTAAAGTTAATTGAATCTACCATTTACTGATAACTGAGATATGGATTGTTTCTTCCAACTACATCATATAAATTGTATTATTTTCACAAAATCCATTTAGTCATATAACTAAATCCTGAACTCCTACTGTTGCTCAACAAAATGACACTTTGAACTAGTCAGTCCAGTTACAAGGTTACTAGGTCGGTGCAAGTCTTTGTTTACGTTGTGGCAAACGAGCACAGTTTAGTAACAACTTATGGCAAGACATCCATGTCCTGAGAACATTGGCTGAAAATGTTTTCCAATGAAAAATCAAAGACCAGAAATTTTAGCCATCTGTTTGAAACTGCAATGATTTCTACAAGTGGTGATGTCCCACGGGTGCAGGCCAACCTTATGAGGTCCAACTTTTACACACGCAATAGGCAGGGAGGAGAGAGGTATAAATTATATGATGAGGAGTTTTAGTCAGAAGGCTGTCAGAATCAAACAGCTTTTCATCTCCGCTTCTCTTTAATGATGCAGTCGGATGAACTTTGCTTCCCACAGCTCCACAACTCATCGTGCAGGAAAACAACGCGTCCACTTTCTGTGTCATTGCTGATTTATGTTCTACTCTTTTCCATCTCTTTCTTTACTGTGACTTTGAACCTGCTGGTGATTGTCTCCATCGCCCACTTCAAGTAATAAAATGTTACATCTTGAGAAAACCAAACGTTTTTAAACAAAGTTTCAGTGTTAGTCGTAACCTTAAATCAAAAGTACATGGTACTTTTGTTTGTGTTTTCTGTAGGAAGCTCCACAGCCCCACCAACCTGTTCCTCCTCTCTCTGGCTGTCTCAGATTGCATGGTGGGCTTCCTCATCTCGTTTCAAATCATGCTCATCGATGACTGCTGGTACCTCGGTGACCACATATGTGCCTTATATCTTGTTCTGGACTACGTTATCACCTCTGCCTCAGGAGGAACCATGGTGCTCATTTCCATTGACCGCTATATAGCTATTTGTGACCCTCTACATTACTCCAGCAAAGTCACTGAAGAAAGGGCAAAGATGTGTGTTTCACTGTGTTGGATCTGTTCTCTTCTGTTCCACAGCGTCCTGCTGAGAAAAAACCTGCAGACACCAGGCAGGTATAACTCCTGCACTGGAGAGTGTGTGGTGGTGGTTGATTATATCGGAGGGATTTTTGACCTTTTGTTTTCCTTCATTGGTCCTGTCACTGTCATCGTAGTTCTGTATCTGGGAGTGTTTGTTGTGGCTGTGTCTCAGGCTCGTTCCATTCGTGTTGGAACCGTCACTCTTCAGGGCTCGGTGAGAGTGACGGCTAAGAAATGTGAAATGAAGGCAGCGCTGGTTCTCGGGGTTGTTGTGGTTGTGTTTCTTTTATCTACATGCCCATATTATTGTGTAGCACTGTCGGCTCAGGATGATGGAGTCAGTGCTTCGTCCGTGGCCTTTATATTGTTTTATTTGAACTCCACTCTGAACCCGCTGATTTATGCACTGTTTTACCCCTGGTTCAGGAAGTCTGTTAAACTAATTATAACTCTTCAGATCCTGAAGCCTGGCTCCTGTGACGCCAACATGTAACAGTCTGTATACAGACCGGTGGATGTAAATAATTCATTTTAGAAATAAAATATGTAAAAAAATAAAAAAACAATGTCATAATTGTGACAAAAATGTACAGAACTGAAAACTCCTTAGATAGAGAACTTTATTAATTGGCTTTTATGTATGTGAATGTTTCTGTAAAGGCCCTGAGACAACTTTGTTGTGATTTGATGCTATAAAAATAAACTGAATTGAATTTAATTAAACTTATCAAACACTTTTAAGTGAAGAAAATCTATTTAATAACTCAACCTCTGACTCAGGGGCGACAGGTGACCCAGTTGATGGTGTTGCCTCTCAGCAAATAGGTTGTCCCAGTTCAAATCTTGGCAGGGGGTCTTCCTGGGTGGAGTCTGCATGTTCTCTCTGTGCATGCATGGGTTTTCTCCAGGTGCTCCAGTTTCCTCCCACAGACCAAAAACATGCATGTTAGACTGACTGGTAACTCTGAATTGTCCCGAGGTGTGAGAGAGAGAGAGTGAATGGTTGTTTGTCTCGTTTGTCTCTATGTGTCCCTGTGATGGACTGGAGACCTGTCCAGGGTGTCCCCCACCTCTCACACAGTGATTGCTGGATATTTTTATTTTCATTTCATTTACCCTTTATTTATACAGGTAGTCTCATTGAGCCATGAGAACTCATTTTCAAGAGAGACCTGTTTTAGAGAGCAGATGGGGGTTAAGGGTCTTGCTCAGGGGCGCAGGGTGTGGCAAATGAGGGTGGGGGCAGGTGTGGGTGCTTCACCTACCCCACCCACATTTTTTGATGTTGTCGGTACCTGGGCTTGAACCGGCGATCTTCCGATCACAGGCCTACCTTCTCTAACCTCTGCGCCAACACTCCCCATGGACACTACTCCTGTGACGGAAAAAGGAAGAAGCAGGTAAAGATCATGGATGGATGGATGGATGGATGGATGGATGGATGGATGGATGGACAAAACCTTTAATGCTTTTTTTTCAGAATCAGCTTTATTTGCACCGAAGCACAACGAATGTATACTTCAGTACAGCCCATCTGAAGAAACAAAAAACAACAGACAGGGTAGACGGGATGTCTGAGGCTGCAGCCTCACTGAGAGGTGCTTCCTTTTTTGTTAAAGTGGAAAAAACGGAACACGAGTGAAGAGGAAGTGAAGAAAAAAATCATATGCAGAAATCCCCAGCACACACACACAAAACAGACATAAAGACATATACTGATGCATGTGGAGTGGGTGAGGGTGGGGTCCAGGCACAGGCTACCCAAGAGAGCGACGCAGCCACTGGCGCTTCCGCATCTACCTACGTTGATGCACCGGTGGGGGGTGGAATGAGGGAGGCCAGCAAAGGCATTGAATTTGAGGGGAAGTAGTCTGTGAACACTGTCCAGACCCCCCCCACCCACCCACACACACACACACACACAGCCATAGTCCTGATAAGAGTTGGTACAGTGTTTATCAGCTGGCTCAGTAGAGCTCTGAATCAGGTCCATGACCTTGGGGAAGGGGGAGCAGAGCTTCTTGTTCACATAACATCCAGGAGAATTTGAGATATTCAACCTTCCAAGGCCGATGCCAGGGCAGTCAAATTCAGATATCAACATTGGTTTTGGGTCAGGCCGAGCTCTGTTCATTTCCATCTGCTTTTTACAGTCTCGCTAGTACGGCCCAGTGGCGACTCCAAACAGCCGAATTGTGGTCATATACATCGAGTCGAGCTTCCAACTTCTCAGAGATCTATTTCTTCCTGCCAGCGAGATTCAAGCTGGGACAGCCTTTGAGTGTTGAGAGCATAGAATTGAATACTACTTTGGCAGATAAAGATGTTTCTTTTAATAGTATTTATGTTAAGTGGCATATTCTGATTTTTAAAAAACACCAATGTTCCTTAAATTAGTGGTAGAGGCCAAAGTAATGCTATCCAGAGTGAGTGAAAGGCTTCAAAGTTTATTTCTAAAATATCTTGTTATTAAAACTATAACCTTGTTACAATAATCATAATAAAAATAAAAATCAAATATAAAAAAATAGGAATCAGGGTTGTTTTTTGTTCTTGCTTTTCTTCCCATCCTGTGATTGTTGGAAGAAGCCGTCTGCTTAGGATCATCTTAGCACTTGGTAGATGGCCCCACTGGGTGTAAGCTAATTCGTTTCAGGTCACCATGGCTCTCGTATGAAGAGAGGGGACAGGAAGATATAAATCTGCTACTGAACCTGACAAAAGAAAGAACTCAGGAGCTTCTTGTCTCTTTTTCCTTCTAACAATGCAAACATTGGGAGAAGTTGAACTTTGCTTTCCACAACTGCTGAATTCATCTTGTAGGAAGTCAAAGTACCCTTCCTCTGGATCTATGCTCACTTACGTTACACTGTCCTCCGTCTCTCTGCTTACTGTGGCTCTTAACATGCTGGTTATACTTTCCATCTCACTATTCAAGTAATTTATCTTTAGATATTTGAACATCTTTTGTGCTTTTGTAGTTCAGTCATGAATGTATCTGTTTAAAATACAAATTTAGCAGTAATTGATGGTAAGTTTGTTGTTTTCTGATCTCTCCAGGAAGCTCCACAGCCCCACCAACCTGTTCCTCCTCTCTCTGGCGGTCTCAGATTGCATGGCAGGCTTCCTCGTTTCTTTTCAAATCATGCTCATAGACGGCTGCTGGTATCTCGGTGACCTTGTGTGCGCCCTGTATTTTGTGTTGGACTATTCTGTGACGTCTGTATCAATAGGAACTATGGTTCTCATTTCTGTTGACCGCTATGTGGCCATTTGTTACCCTCTTTATTATTCTAGAAGAGTCACCGAAGAAAGGGCAAAGGTATGTGTTGTGCTAAGTTGGACATTATCTCTTCTTTATCAGTGTCTTCTCCTGAAGGACAACCTGAATCATCCTGGCAGGTATAATTCCTGTTTTGGAGAGTGTGTAGTTGTTGTTAGTGACATCGGAGGAGTATTTGATCTGTTTGTGTCATTTATTGGTCCTGTCACTGTCATCATAGTTCTGTATCTGAGAGTGTTTATTGTGGCTGTGTCTCAGGCTCGTTCCATGCACGCTCATGTTGCAGCCGTCACATTTCAGAAATCAGTGAAAGAAACAGCCAAGAAATCTGAAATGAAGGCAGCTCTGACCCTCGGGGTTGTAGTGGTTGTGTTTCTTCTATGTACATGTCCGTATTTCTGTGTTACATTAATGGCCCAGAACGCAGGGGTCAGTGCTTCGTCCGTGGCCTTTCTTCTGTTTTATTTGAACTCCACTCTGAACCCGTTGATTTATGCACTGTTTTACCCCTGGTTCAGGAAATCTGTTAAACTAATTATATCTCTTCAGATCCTGAAGCCTGGCTCCTGTGACACCAACATGTTGAACCACTGAAATGAGGGAAATGGACATAAGAAAATGTTTTGAAAAGGTTATTTTGATTAAACTAATTCTTTTTTGTGGCAGAAAGTATGTCCTGTTTCTTCTAACAACACAGTTTAACATTTATCCACTGAAAATGTATAATGAGAAAAAATGAAAGTCAATAGAGATTAACATAAAACATATTAGATAAGGAAATGCTGGATTCTGTCCAGTTGCAGCTTACTAAAATTATAGTATGTGGTTTAATATGTCACTTGTCCAGTATGTAAGTTTATGTTGTTATGTTGTAGTTTGTTAAAAATTACTCAAATTAAAAAGTGCCTCCTTCAGAAAATACTCCAGCCAAAATCCAAGATTTGTAAAATTGAACTTTATATTATCAGTGTGAAAAGGACTTTACAAATCTGATGTGTTTACTTTATGCTTAATAAATTATAATCATAATTTGAAGGTTTAAAGCATCGTAAATGTTTCAGCCACACAAGTTGCTTCACCTCAGAGGTCAGCTGAGCTTTCACACAAACTATAAAATGAATGAACAAATCCTTGTTTTTCAGTAAGGCTTAGTTGGGTGCAATGCATACCGGGTGTTCGGTGAAAGAGGTTTCCTGGCCATGCCCATTCTTGGAAGCACAGATTCCGTCTAGGGACTTGGAACGTCACCTCACTGGGGGGTAGGATCCAGAGGTTTTGTGTGAGGCTGAGCAATAGCAACTTATAGTTGGATGGCGGTAATACACCTTGAGGGATGTAAGCTGCCGTAAAACCTCACAGAAGAAGAAGAAGAACTTATAGTTGGGCACTTTATGAACAGCTTGGGCCCAGGGAGAGAGGCGCCAGATGGGTGCCCCCAACCGGATGCCTCTGTGTTGGAGTTTATCCCAGTGAATGAGAGGGTTGCCTCTCTGTGGCTTTGGGCTGTAGAAGGAAATGTCCTGACTGCTGTTTGTGCTTATGCACCAAACTGATTTCATGTTACCCAGCCCTCTTGGAGACTCTGTGTCCTGGCAGGGGTGCTGTCTAGGGACTCCCTCATTTTATTGAGTGACTTAAATGCTCATGTGGGCAATGACGATAAAGTCATCCCTTGATATATTGTGGTTCACCTATTGCGGCTTCATTTTATCGTGGGTTTTTAAATACTGTATATATATATATATATATACATATATATATATATATATATATATATATATATAAAGGTGTTTTAAACCTTTCCCACACTCTTGCAATATTCTAAACAATGTTTCTAAACGCTCTAAAAGAGACAGAATGTCATGATTTCAGCTCTCTGCCTCCTCTGCTCTTTGCCACGCCCACTTCTCTGCACAGCGAACAGCTGATTGCTGCAGCAGGAAGTTTATCCTGCAGTATCCACTACCACTTGCACAAGTGGAGGAGGAAGCAACCTCTTATTTCTGCCCTGTGTGCGTGCTCTCCCACTTTGTCACATGCACGGCCATAACACGCTGCTCTCAGCGTCTGTTTGTGCACTTCAGAGATCAGTCTCAAGGACTTCCTGTCTGCTCAGCGCCTGTCACACTGGCTGTGTGAGGCTGTTTCACAGACTTCCTCTGGATCTCAGCCTCCAGAGGAATCTCATCCTCCACGGCTCTGCACGGAGGATTGTCAGTGCAGGACATCTGCACAGCAGCTTCTTGGGCTTCTCCATGCTCATTCATATGTTTTTATCTGTGTGCTGATTCCAGCATGTCCCTGACTCACTCTGTCCTCAGAGATTTGTCAGAATGATGATGCAGATGTAAGTGAGCTCACCATCCCACCTGCTCACAGCAGCAGGGTTTGACATTTCAGTCTGATGCAGAAATTATTTCTTTCTCTGCTGCTCAGCCAGATATTCAGTGACACATAATTGCACATGATCTGAAGGCTCAAATATGGATTGTTTCAAATAATGTAAGCAGATATCTATGTGAATGTGCTACTGAAAAGACCCAGTGATGCATCAATTACATCCTGCTTCACCTTTAACCCACTAGTGATGGCCTGAAAGGGCGAGACATATATGAAGTAGATCATTGGTTACGTACTGTAACCCCATTCTGAGTATACAGGTGCAGCCCTTCAAGAGCTGGGCCTCACTGCTCCTAAATGGCTGAAGAAAAACACTATTTGTGAGTCGATTCCCGATCTCAGCGCAATTTATACAGACTGGGGTGGGACCAATACAGCAGGTGGGTGTGGACTAAAGTTTTCAGGGCTGTTCTGCACGAGAGGGGTAAACCTAAGAGTGGGAAAGGTTTGTAGGAGTGTGGGAAGGGTTTATAAAGACTTATATATATATAAATGATAAATTAAAGGAGAACTGCAGCAGCTCTACCAGCTGCACCACAGCTGCATGGTGGTGCAGTTGGTAGAGCTGCCGCCTCTCAGCGAGTAAATCACCCTGGTTAAAATCCCCGCCAGGGACCTTTTTGGGTGGAGTTTGCATGTTCTTGTGGGTTTTCTCCGGGTACTCCAGTTTCCTCCAACAGACCAAAAAACATGCATGTTAGACTGACTGGTGACTCTAAATTGTCCCTAGGTGAGAGAGGGAGTGAATGTTTGTTTCGTTTGTCTTTATTTGTCTCTGTGATGGACTGGAGACCTGTCCAGGGTGCACCCCACCTCTCACACAGTGATTGCTGGGCATAGGCACCAGTGACCCCACGACCCAAAAAGGAAGAAGCAGGTAAAGATAATGGATGGATGGATGGATGGATGGATGGATGGATGGATGGATGGATG